GAAACAGCGACTAGCACCCGCTCCAGCTGCGGGGCAGGGTGAGTGCGGCGGGATTTGCCAGGAATAACCCCAATTCCGTCAAGATCCGGTCTCTGCACCGCCAGCACACGCGGGACGGAGCAAACTGGTTTTCCCTGGAGCGAGCCCAGCGTCAGGCGATGAAATCCAGGGGTCTGTTGAATCCGCCTTTTCTGTTCATGTACTGCCTGTGGCCAGAGGGAAGGAACCACGGTCAGCACCAAACCCCCACCAGTAAAAGCCAGTAACCCGCTCAGCGGCTGCTGGGAATCGAATTCCCCACGGATTCGCACAAAGGAGTAGGAAATCTCCCACCGTGCGTAGGCTGGACCCTCTGAGGATCCCAGCGCTTGCCAGGTCTGCGCCCATCTGGCTACATCAGGTGCCAGAGCCGAAGCCTGGCCGTACGCTCGAGTTGTCACCAAAAAGGAAGCAGAATTAACCAACTAAGTGTTTTTTTGGGGTTTTTTTTTGAAGAAACAGGCAAAGAGCGCTGCTGAGGCAGGCTCTGATCCTGTTCGGGCCGCATCTGGCACGTCCTGCCTGCACACAACACGTTCTTTCACCCTCATCTCCCTGCTTTCACCATTTCCAGGAGAAACCAGAGGCAACACAACCTCTGCTTGGCAGCAAAACCCCCAAACTTTGCCTTTTTCCGAAGGCCTGAGAAGCCGGATCCTCCCCGGCACGCTGCCGAGAGACAGCGGCTTCGACGCACGGCCGCGGAGTTTCCTCCGCGCTGCGTCATCTCGTCAAAGAAATTCTCCTTCTCTCGGAAAAAAAGGCCAGACACAAACCTGTACTTCCTCTTCTGGGACACGTTGATGGCGTACGCGTTGGCTGCGCCGTCCACCTTCTTTCCCTGAAAGATATGAAGAAACAAAAGTCCCAAAACTCAGCGTATCAGCCCCAAAAAGGGCATGGCGCAGGCTGCACCGTGCCGATGCGCACTCACCTTCGTCGTGTCGAAAGAGGCGAAGCCCATCATCTTCATCATCTCGATTTCCTCTTCTGTCTTGCCCTGCAAATCCTCCTCTGCCGAGGCGACAAAATAAAGATTTGACAAAGGCAGCGGCTGAGGTTCGCCAAAAACGTTCTGAATAAGCACCCGGGTGGCCCCTGAGCTGGTCCCAACTGGAGCAGGGAACCCGGGATGCACTCAAAGAGGTAGATCCACCTTCTAACCTGTGATCTGACGCTCTTTGCCTTTGGAATCCTTCACCTCCTTCTTCTCCTCATCCCGCCTTTCCTTCAGCC